ACGAAGAAACACAGTTACATGACTAAAGTATATAAGTCAGGAGATAGTTTTCTTCAAAGATTTTAGGACTGGAAAAGCGTATTGGGAAGAAGGTGTAATAACCAAAAGAATTGGTCAAGTCATATACGACGTAAAAGGAGAAGACATTGGAATCAGTTAAGACCCGGCCAGACTACAGAGGTCGCGGAAAATACCTCAGAGATTCAGTCTTGTATGACGCCTTTGATATTCCCGTGCCAATGATTCAACATTCGCCGATGCAGGCATCCTCAACCTCAAGCCTAGAGGTACCAGTGTGTCAAATACCACAACTACAAGGAGGATTGAGGCGAAAAAGGCTTAGAAAAAAAGTTAATCGTTTAGGTCCAGACCCTAAGAAGAGGAATTATTAAAGCTAAAATTCACGGGAATTTAGCTCAAGGGGGAGGTGATATAATGGAATAGGCATACACGTGTGTTCCCCCTCACTGGAGTATGATTGGCTGGTGTTCGTCATAAATACTGACGGACATGTAGGTGAGTCAAAGAACCTTAGTCAGAGAGCTAAGTCTATAATGACGCCCATTGGACTAAGCCATTGATCTACACTTCTTACCTGCGACTACGACGCGTACCAGTCGATTACTGCTACCGTATTCTACTTGGTTATTGTAGCCAAAACCTCTTAGCTACTTCGTTCAAATATATCCCTTTCAGGGACATATCAGTTGGGTAGAATGGGAGCTTTACGCTATGAAGTATTCAGTTTCGAATGAATATATACCTAAGATACTCCCGGTATCAAGGAAGGTCTGCCATGACCAAACGTAATTGTTCAGGCGGCTTGTGGGATGTCGGGTCGCGGTAGACGACTTAGGGAAGAAGACCTTGTAAAGACGGTAAAGCCAGTAATGGATTAGTTCGGCGATGCTGAGTTGTTTTCCCTTGGGGGTGGGCAGAAGGATTTGAGATGGTGCGAGTTGAGTTCTGGCACACAGAGGCAGATGTTTAATGCTAATAATTGTAGAAAATTAATGGTGGTAAATTTTTGAAGGTTTGTTCAAGTAAACCTGGTAATACTCAAATACAAAAAGTAATTAATTGGTTGTGGTTGAATAAACAATGTTATAATGGACCGTGTGTGTTGTGCTGCTGTGAGTAGGAAATAAGTGAGAATCATTGCATATTTAATGTGTAAAGTTTAGGTGGCAAGGATGCGGCTCAGTTATGGAATTAGTTAACGCTGAGGCGTAGGACTTTTTGACATGTATTTTGGGGACTAGTATTTTTCTCTGTGTATAGTGTACATTTCGTGTAATCTCAAGTTAAGAGGTAAAGGGATTTGGTTCTCCCTAGAAATATTGGATTGCAGAGTTGGTACCTGCTGGCCTGGGTGAGAGTTCCATTGGAAATGTCAAAGTTGGGGTGATTTGTATCCAGAGTAGCGCTTGAGGCATTGACATTGGCCCACTGAAGCTAGTGAGCAAAAATGGACAAACGATTGTCCGGTACTCTTGAATTTTTATTTAAAAAATGTTTGTAAAGCGTGAAAAACTGGTCAGTTTCGTTGTTTAGGTTCATTCCTTTTCAGGAATTGTATATATATATATCGGAGAGGTCATGTGACCGAGAGCCAAGGAAGAAAAATCGCCTTGTAGACACAAAATAGTAGAGGAGATTTTAGACTAATATAATTGAAATAAAATTCCTAAATGAATTTTTTTTAATGATTAGTTAAGGAATGTTAAATAATAGTTTAGAAGACTATTATTTTTAGGGAGAATTGTATCGCTGTTCCGACTACCTGACTGCCGACTTAGCGATTAGATACAAGACAAAATATAAGGAAGGCGATTTTGATTGTCTGAAGTAGCGTGGGAATGATAGTCTTTTTTTTTTTTTTTTCGGAGAGTTGCAATGTAGATATGTTGACCGTCGTGTCTGGAAACTGCTCCCCAGTAGAGCGAGAGAGCGATCCCACTGTCTAGTTAGAAGATGTATAAGTTCACGTTAATAAACTAGTTTGAAATTATTTTTACTGGTGTCTTTCATCTCTTGACCCCAAAAACATTTTCGCCACCTAACCGGGGGGGGGAGATAGAGGAGGCAAGGAGAGAGAGAGAAAGAGTACAAGAGAGAAATATACTGAAAATACTGACCCTGCAATACCCTATCTCATAGCCAATGCGAAAAGGCCTCGTAAAATATTCCAAAATAGAAAAGATGTCATTCGTAACAAACCCAAAGTATCACAAATATATTATTCTACCGACAAAGTCTATCACAACTATAACTGGAAAGAATTTATCTAAACTCAACATAAAATCTGTCACAAAAATCAAAGACTTAGTCAATAAAAACAAAAAGGCAATCCAAAACTTGAGGCAGGAATTTACTCTGATTTGCAGGAATTGCCAGAATGTATACATTAGAGAAACATATATAATCAGACAAGGGACATTTAAAAAAAACCCAAAACCCAAAAACAAAACAAAAAAACACAAAACACATTGGTTGTTACGGTAACGAAACTGACAACAATTTTGACATAGGGAATCCTGCTTTGATTAAAAGAGAAAATAAGCCACTGACACGAACATATTTAGAAATTTCCTTGATCGCTAGTTCAGCCACTCTGAATTTACGTCCAGGCTAATGCAATATATGACAATTCTTTTCAATATATCACAATTCTTGGTAGTTTTTCTGTTGTCACAATGCGAGATAGTCAGGGACACAGGTGATGGAGAGGAAAGAAAAAAAACATTACAGGGGAATTTGGCTAGATCGAAAAATATTCTTTAAAAATATAGCGTCTCTCGTTTTGAACGCATGTGTAGACGTGGCAACATCAACAAACCCCAATGCGATGAAATCCTAACGGATGAAACTTTTTCCATTTGTCATGTATATATATATATATATATATATATATATATATATATATATATATATGTATATTGTTTATGTTAACCAGACCTTGGTTAATCGCAGAATATAAAATATGAAGTTAAATTACTGAAATCAACAAATTAAGCATATTTCTCATAATTTACTTTGTTATGTGGGCCGCTATAAAATCTAATGAAGGAAAAAGTTTCGGTGTCCTTGAAAGAATTGATTAGAGTAATTATATGACAAATATTGCGGTAAACAAGATTGCAGTGAAATAAGAAACAAAAGACTTGCTGAGAAATGAAGGCTGGTTTTGTTTTCATTAATTACGGTTCAATTATTTCAGATTTCTTTCAATACAGAGTTACAGGAAAAACATGATCTTTTGTAAATTACTGATATTTTGCAAAATACAGTCAAACAATATTGGAAAAGAATATTCAATATTTTAAATACATTGAATAAAATGTAAATTTTTGCAGTTGATCAAAATTCTTGTTCGAGTGTAGAAATACTCAACACCGCATATAAGAAGAGAATTGAAATTGTATCGGAGGAGGAGTAAATAAAATGTACATACTTTCATCCTGGTTCGTACGAACTCAAAAAGTTCTGTTTAGTGTGTATGCATCGTGTCATTATTTTCCATCTTTCATCCCAAAAATTTTTTGATCTGCAAATGTTATTATTGTAACTTTTCCTCAGTTTGCAGATATCTCTACGATTGCTGTAAGGTTTGACAATGGGATTTTATATTTTTTGCTTTTAATTCTCTCAAATGGATAGACATTCCGGTAGCTTGGATGATGCTTTAACACACACCATGAATATTTTGGTATGGCCATTTGTACTTCGGCATTGTAAATGAAACCTTCAAACTCCATCTAGTGGACATTTACATTTTTTCTGCAGTTATATGTTTCATTGATAACGATATCTTGCTGTAAGCTAGCTTTGACATTCTTGGCGTTTTATCTTTTTAATATAGTTTCCAAATTACTAGAACAGCTGTTGTTTAGTTTAACTGAATTTTTATGAAAGATCTTGTGTAATTCGGAACATTTGGGGAAGTCTATATATATAAATATATATATATATATATATATATATATATATATATATATATATATATAGGAAAAGGGATAAAGAGAAATTTATATATATATGTATATAGTGTTAATTTGAAATATTGTTGTGAAGCCAAGATTGCTGGTTTTTCAGTGGTTTACTGATAAGGAGACATTTAAGACAAGCAGGTTATGTAGTAGAGTTCCCCAATATCGAAGATAGAGAAGAGTGTCAATAGAATAAATATGGGAATGGTTTACTTATGAGGAGGCATTTAAAGCAAGCAGGCTTTGTGGTAGATTTCTCAATATCAAACCTAGAGGTAGAGTGTTAATAGAATAAAATATGAAAATAGTTTATTTTATAGAGGCATTTAAGTCAATCTGGAATTGTTGTAGAGTGCTCAATATCGATACCGTTATAGAGAGTTAATAGAATAGATATGAAAAAGTTTTAATTATAAGGTGGCTTGTAAGGCAAGCAGACATCCAAGATAGATATGGCGTGTTAAGAGAATTAATTTGGTTAAGTTTTACTTATAAAGATGCATCTAAAGGAAGGGGACTTTGTGATAGTGCTCAATATGGAAGATAGAGAAGAGTGTCAATAGAAAAAAATATGGAAAAGATTTACTTATGAGGAGGCATTTAAAGCAAGCAGTCTTTCTGGGAGATGTCTCAATATTGAAGACAGAGATAGAATGTTATTAGAATTAATATGAAAAATATTTACTTATAAGGATACAGTTAAGGGAAGCAGTATTTGTGGTAGATTGCTCAATAACGAAGATAGATATATAGTGTTAATAGAATTAATATGAAAAAGGTTTACATATATGGTGATATTAAAGGCAAGCAAGTTCACGAATTCATTTCTTGTTACAGTTTGTAAATTGATTAAGAAAAATACCCAAATTTTCTTTCAAATATTTTTATTTTCCCATATACTTCTAATCTCATCTGAGACCATCTTCAGGAGGGCTAAATTGTGAATGTATATATGGATTTTTGTACATTAAAATATTTTCAACTGTTTTACTGCGATATGTAGTGATATAGATCTATCTATCTATCTATCTATCTATCTATCTATCTATCTATCTATCTATCACAGCTTCAAGGAAGTTAATAATATCAATAAGACGCGGGTTTTTAAGAGAATAAGAAGCTAGTGAGAAAGGGGAAAAAATGCCACATACTGCTTCGTGGGGAGGCAGGTAAATATCGTAATATGCTAAGTAATCAAGCACTAACAGAAGTTTACCTACTTCACGCCTCTGCCGGGTATTGTGTTTTGTTGATTTTATAAAGTTGCCATTTCATTCCAACTTCCGTTTTGGTTATTCCTTATTCAGTAACCTTTCCTAGGTTAGAAGAATAAGGATGAGTTAAAACTTATTCACAATTTTGTTTTAAATTTATTTCCACAAAAGCATCGGTTAATCGCATTCCTTTTCGATGCACTTGTTGAAGCGGTCATCAAGCTTACGTATTCCCACCAAGACTGTTTTTAGCACCGATTGTTGCACTTTTTTATCCATAGGACATCGATGACCTTGTAAAACATCTTTGAGCCGTCCAAAGAGGTGATAGTAGGAAGGCGCGAGATGTGGGTTGTAGGTGAAGTGTGTCGGTTTCTCAAAATCCAATTACTACGGTTTGAACAGCCGTATGTGGGCGTGTATTATCATACAACAAGAACACTTTCTTCCGCGTTTGATGCGAATTACTCGCTTCAGATAGTCTTCCAGTATAAGCCATTTTGGGTCCTCCAAAACGGTTAGCATAATCTTTCCCGCCGAAGATTGAGTCTTGAATATCTTTTTTTTTTTTTTTTTTTGGCGAGCCAGTATGTTTCCATAACATAGTCTGTCTTTGGATTCTGGATGAATCCACTTTTCATCTGTGACTATTCTGCTAAAAGATTCTTCGCATTCATTGTTGTAGCAGCCAAGTAAACATTGTCAGACCTGTACGCGTTTTGTCGTGTGCTCTTTGGTAATCTCTCTTGGCAGCCATCTTGTATGGAAGATGAGCTCGTTGCGGATGATTTTTTCCATCTCTCGTCCTGATCCATCTTTGTCTGTCACGCTTGTCCGGTCACATTTAAACTTCTCGATCCACTCAGGCACAACGCTGTAGTCACCGTATTTTGTTAAAATACTCCGATGAATTTAAGCCTCCTACACACACCTTCTAGAGAAATCGGGTCATGTCTCTGTTTCCCTTTGGTGCACACTTCTATCGGAGAGGCCCTGTTCACACTGTAACGGCAGCAAGAAAACTGGCGTGATCAAACTCAATCTTGATCACGTGACAACAGTAGTACCAACTATAAACACTTATGAGCAGAAGGAAGTGTTGCAAACCTAATGATATATTATGACGAAAGTGCTGACAGCTTTTGACTTAAATACGTATATAATCAATAATGGATGTCGATTGGGAGTTTCACACCATTAAGTAACAGTTTGCAAGAAAATGAAAAATATTTGCCATTAAGAATTTAACATTTATTATTAGTTTGAAAACAGAAGAGAAATTTTCTTTATTTTCTCCATTATTCATAATCTTATTGCACTAAAAAATCACGCTATGATGTGCTAACTTTGTATTATTATTGAAATATATAATTACCCAGAAACAGATAATTCATTGAACCAAAAGAAAGTGAACGCCATCAATATTGCAATTGATTGTAATAATGATGAAGTTTATATGGTTTCAATTTTCTCTCGAATTACCAATTTTTCTAATAACTTGCAAGATTCTTAGGGTCTATTTCAACCGCGTCAGTGATGATAAGTGTACCATTATTAATAAAAAAAATGTTGCTTTTCACTGCAATTAATGACACTCTCATTTTATGGACGTCAGAACGAGGATTAAAAACAATGAATAAACATTTCCATTGCTACTTATAAGGATTTTGTCCTACTTGAAGCATTGGCTGCGCAACAATTCCTATGTTATTTCGTTTATAAATCCTTTTGTTCAACTCTTGAAATTTCTATTGAGATGCTTTGTTTCCTACCTGTTTTTTTCCTTTAGTCTTAACTTTCTTTTCATTCTTTAATCGATTTCATTTTGTCTCTCTTTGTTTCTCGAATCATTTTCTAATTCTTATATATCTCATTATATCTTTCAGGAATCCATTTCTCTTTCTAATTGTCTCATATTTTTCCATTTTATTCACAAATGATTTTCTTTATCAAATGTTTCGCTTTTCTTTCCTTTACAGATTATTTTCTCTTAGAAAAATGAGTATTTTCTTTTTGTCTTTACTTTTTCTACTTTCAATTATGATTCCTGGGTATGACGATAAACTACATCATGCAGCAAGGCCACTGATTAGGAGATTGAGGTGCGTGGAACGATCTTTTAATTGCTGTTGTTCCTAGGTCCATCCTGATGGGGTGGTGTCACCTGTTAGAGTCCCAGGTATGAGCATATAATTATCTCCCCTCAAACAAAGAAAAACCTATGAAATTAGAAAACTACATTTTTATAGTAAAATACCAGCAATACATTTTTTATATAAAAATTACCGACACTACTTATAGTAAAATTACCAACAATACATCAATCAATATAAAAGAACACTTTCTGGACAGTAATCCATATAATTTCCTACAAATTCTTAAAGAAATCAAACTGTATTCCAAAATATAATTCCATCCATCCAGGTCGATCGTAATCGGGATCATCGAACCAATGCGAACGATTCTTTCTTTAGCTGTATAGTATGTGCTACGCCAGGGCTACATGCAGTTTTAGAATTCAGAGTTACTTTCTCTTAGATCGGCTGAAATTCAAGGTTATAAGACCCAGTCTATCCTGTTATTTAACCATAGCTGGAGGGATAAGAATAGGATCCATATCTTTCCCACGGGTATTCGCACGTAAGCTAATGTAATGGATCCGACTGGAATTCGATCTCGGCAAAATAAAACACACATATCACCGTCTCTCATAATTATGCTCACACAAGCATGTAGATGCAAAAAAGCTGTGTATCAACTACCATGTAAGCAACTGTGAAAGCAAAATAACATATTCATATTTTTATTACTTCAGTGCTCCCAAGGAAATGAATTTTCGATATTAAATGGAACTTAACAAACAAATCAAATCTTTCAATGTTATTATTAAAATCGGTTTGGAAAATTTTCATTGTTTTCCTCTTTTAATTTTTCTGAGGAAACTTAATACTTAGGTTAATCATTGAATAAGCTCCTAGTTAGTTTCACGATCAAATACCTGTAGAAATTCTCCCATCGCATCTTGATATTTGAGATTTAGCAAATTATTGCAATGACAATAATAAGTGTAAATGCATGTAATTATTAAAAAAAACTAACAGTTTACAAATGAAAAGATTTTACATTGACAACTTTTCCATCCTGTCATTAAAACCATGCAAGTGTTATCGCCTTCTCTATCTTCCCTTTCTTTCTTTCTTTCTTTCTTTCTTTCTTTCTTTCTATCTTTCTCTCTATCTTTCTCTCTTTCTCTCTCTCTTTCTCTCTCTCTTTTTCTCTCTCTTTCTCTCTCTCTCTTTCTCTCTTTCTCTCTATCTTTCTCTCTTTCTCTCTATCTTTCTTTCTTTCTTTCTTTCTTTCTCGTCACTGAAAAAAAACAGTCTTCTTCTTCTTCTTCTTTTTCTTCTTCTACCTGGTATTTGTGTCGTTTTATTCTTTTCTGTTCGCTTTTCGTTTTAATCTTTCAGCCATTTTAATTTTCTTTTTTTCCTTCACCCTTTTTTTTCTTTCTTGCTTTTTTCATTTTTCCGTGCTTCATATTTGTATTTTGATTATGTTTTCTACACTCTTTCGATTTTATATTTTTGTCCTTTTCTTTTTTCGTCATTTTCTTTCTTTCTTTTACTTCCTTCTCTGTTTTTCTTTTGATCTTTTCCCTCGTTTTTTCCTTACATTTATATCTTCTTCCTCTTCATCCTATTCTCAGATTTCTCTCTTCATCGACATTTTCCCCTTTTTTTTCTTGATTCATTATCTTCCTTTTCATTCGCTCTTCTTTTTTTACGTCTTTATTTTCTCTAAATTCTTTTAGTCTTCGTTTTAATTTTCATTTCTCTTTTATCTATTTTTCAGGCTCCATCTTTTTTATTCTTTTTCTGTGATTTCTTTTCTTCTTCGTCTTTTTGTGGCTCTTCTCCTTTTAAAACCTTTTCTTGATTATTTATATTTTTCTGGATAATTCATATTTTTCTTGATTATTCATATTTTTCTGGATTTTATTTTAATCAATCCTTCTCTTTCTATTCCCTCCATTTTTATTATACAATTTTTTTTCTATTAGACTTTGTTTTCTTTACATTTTCTCGTCTCTTTCTCTTTTTCCTTTTTGACGTTTTTCCTTTTTTTGCTCTTCCATTCTTTTTACATTTGGTTTCTTTTTCTCCTTTCCATTTTCTTATCATTGTTCTTCTTCCACATCATTGTTCATCTTTTTATTTTTCTCCTTTCTTTACTTGTTTTTTCTTCTTCATAATCTTATTTTTCCCTATTTCTCTTCTTATTGTTTCCTTTCTTTTACGTTTGCTTTTTGTTCATCGTGTTCTTCTTCTTCTTTTTCCTCTTCTTTTTCCTTTTGCTGCTGTTTTTTTTTTTTAAATTAATTTGGTCCTTGTTATTTTTCTTCTTCATCCTCATCGTTCCAATTTTTAAAATTTTTTCTTCTTTTTCTTATTTTCGATTTTGTTTTTTCTTCGCCTTCCTCCTATTTTTCTCCTTCCTTTTCTCTTCCAGTTTTCACTTTTATTTCTTGGCGTCTCCACCGTCGTTATTGTCCTCCTCCTCCTCCTCCTCTTCTTCTATCCATTTCATGCTGTTGTTTTTTCATCTATTTTTCTTCTTCATTTTCTATTCATTTTCTTATTGTTGTTCTGCTTCATCTTCTTCTTCTATCCATTTCTTGCTGTTGTGCTTCCACTTCTTTACTTACTCTTCATTTTTTGTTCTATGCACTTGTTGTTGTTGCTCTTCTTCTTCTTTTTTTTTTCCTTTTACCTCCTCTTCATTTCTTGTTCTATGCACGTGTTCTTGTTCTTCCTCTTCTTCTTCTTCCTTTTACTTCCTCTTCTTCTTCTTCTTCGATCCATTTCTTGTTGCTGTTGTTCTTCTTATACCATCTTCATATTTACTTATTCTTCTTCCATTTATTTGTTGCTGTCCTTCCCTTTCTTCTTCTTCTATGCACTTCTTGTTCTTCCTCTTTCCCTTACTTTTACTTCTTCTTCTATGCATTTCTTCTTGTCCTTCCTTTTACTTTTTCTTTTCTTCTTCTATCCTTTTGTTTTTGTTGTTCTTCTTTATTTCTTTTTACTTCTTCTTCTTTTCTTTTCTTGTTGCTACCTTTGTCGTTCTTCCACATCTTTTTCTATCCAGTTCTTGTTGTTGCTTTCTTGTTGTTGGTCTTTTTCTTCTTGTCAGTATTTTTACCCTTAGAACTTCAGATATTATTATACTTCCTCTTTCTGTTCTCTCATACGTTTATAAAAAAAAATTAACATTACAACACAAACAGTGCTAAGGTATTTCAGTGCAAACCACACTAGCGGACTTTTAATAGATCACGCATTAATGCCTTTCACAAAGAGACGCACACGACACACAAGCAATTAATGCGTATTTGTGAAAAAATAAAGAAGAAAGAAAGTAAAAAAATCACATCTACAAGCCTAACATTATTTACTTCTCTTGAGTAAAATAAGAAGCCTCTTTTATATATTCTACATTTCCTCTGTTAGTTTGGAGCGTTGAACCTCTCTTCCGGGCGTGGAAATGTGTTTCCATTTACAATTGAAATCTGCAGCTGCTAATGTTAGGTGACAGAAGAAAAAAAAATACTTACACTATCAAATTTTCATAGGCATGGAACTAGAACGCACATCAAAGAAGAGGACACATTCGATTTTGAAAAATCAATTGATATATAAAACTTTTATTTGCCTATAAGACATGGGTTCCATATCCTCTTGTGCGAGCTGTTTTTGCAACTCACGATATCATAGGTAGGATCGATTAAAAAGACACGTGAAAGATTTATTCACTTATACATTATATGTAGATCCGCTTCGGGTAAATGAATGAGAAATTGGGATAAGATATTATGTGTGTAACGCGTTTTATCCTCTAGAAGAACTTTATCATAATAAAGCATTGGTTTAAACTTTTTTTTTTCTCTGGGTGGAATTTTCAGAATGAAAATTTGCTCGCGCCATACCAAATTTTATGTGAAAATAAGTACATTTAAAAATAAATAAAAAAAAAACTAAAGAGACGCTTAAAGTGAGATAACCACGATTCGGAGATCGAATATTATCAATGATAACTTTCTCTTCAAATTTGCAGACCTTAGTTACTATATTCTTCCGTCTCACCTGCTATCCTCTTCCGTCTCACCTGTTATCCTTTTCCGTCGCATCTGCTATCCTCTTCAACCTCACCTGTTATCCTCTTCAACCTCACCTGCTATCCTCTTCCACCTCACCTGCATTCATTTTCCGTCTCATCTGCTATCCTCTTCCGTCTCATCTGCTATCCTCTTCCGCCTCACCTGCTATCCTCTTCCGTCGCATCTATGAGGCAGATCGCACTCTATGAGAAACCACTGGACTAAAGTAATGATTTTGTTGACGGAATTACCTTTGTCTCAGAAGTGAAGGGGATATATTAAAAAGTAAATATCACTTTTATAACATAATAAGAAACGCTAAAGATATTGGAACGTTGAAATTTTAAATTTAATTTTTTTCTTCTCAGATGTGCCTTGGTATGTCATCTAACTGATTTCATTCAGTTTCCTTATGATCTTGTTTTTTTTTTATCATATCCTTTTTATAATTAGATATCCACATTATGATAAGACAAGATCTACTAGTGAATTTTTCCATGAAGATGAATTACTGTAGATGATCTATAGCGATCAAATCACATTTCTAGCTTTCTCTTTTAGTTACAGTAGCATTTTTAATCGAAGTTATTGTTACACTCATTACGATGAGCAACTAATGCATTAGATGCGTTTCTAATTTTTTATTCATTTGCCTAATGGTGTTCAGATATATGCAAATTTATATATCATATTCTTGCATGTAAATCAACTCAGCAAAAACTGATGGTGAAAAAGGAAAAAAAAATGGAAAAAAAAATGGAGTATTTTAAATGCCAGTTGTATTTTGAATCTGATATACACATCGTAATTTCTAGATTTTCATATCGTTGCCCACTTACTTTACCGGCTTTGTTTTATTTGCATTCACTACTAAAAAGAATATCGATAAGGAAACAATTGTTGTTAATGTTTATTGTTGAAACTTGACTAATGCATGGAATAATAATACAACACAAAATGTACTTAGAACAAAATGTATTGAAACAAGAAAGTGTACACAATATTTACATATAGTCTTTTGTATATTCTTGGGAAGACCGTTCCTGGAGAATGTGTTGACTTAGTCGCAGTCGGGCAGAGTCTCTGGATTGAATCTCTTGATTCCTCCCCCCGTCTTCCCGGTACCAACCATATTTATATGGTCGGTACTCCACTATGCAAATTAGGTGGATCCTACCACAACATTTATTTACAAATGAAGCGAGTGATTATTACTTGGCTAAAATTTGAAATATTAAGTTAAAAAGAAATTTCAGTGCCATAAAATTTAATTATGTATTATATTATAATGCTCTCCCAAAGCTAAGCAAAGTATTAAGTAAAGGGAAAAATATCGTTAGAAGCAAAGAAAAAGTAGTGAACTGTTATGTAACATTAGTCCTGGTATATGGCAGCCAATACTAGACAATTTCCTTATAGCTAAATAAGATCAACGAAAAGTGAGAAGAAAAGCCTATCCGTTGACTATAAGAAGACAATCTAAAGTCGTTATCCCAGTCTAATCATATCTGTCTGTCTCTTGACATCTATCTATCTATCTATCTATCTATCTATCTATCTATCAGTCTATCTATCTATCAGTCTATCTATCCTGGCAAAACTGGACAAAGTAAATAGGAAAGAATCTTTGGTTGACGGTACATTAGTTAAGTAAATTTAAACATGGTAGAACCTGTTGAAATTATCTTACGGTGTATTTATTCTTCTTTGTCGATTCTTATTTAGGATCTATTTTCAGACGAAAATAGATGGCGAAATTTTGTTTAACAGTGACAAACAACTTGTTTATTTTGCTGCTAAAAGAATTTGATGTTTTCCTTTTTTTTAAAAAAAAAGAAAAAAGAAAGTACCATTTGGTGTTTTATCTTCAGAAACTGCAATTTATACTTTTCCCTTCGTGGTTAGCTCAATGGTTGCAACATTCGCTACAATCTGTTTGCAGCAACAACAACAGCTATTTATTATTATTATTATTATTATTATTATTAACAACTTTGTATATTTTTAATTTTTTTTGTTGGAAAATTGTAACCTATAGATTTTATTTTTAAAGAAGTGTAATGATTGTATATCTTCTTGCATAGAGAACAAATAGTTGGTTCTCATTTTGGAGAATTTGGAATTAATTTCTACACAAATTAATTAGAAATCATTACCGTACTAAATTTTGATTGGCGCGTGGCCGAGTAGTTAGAACGTTCGCATTCTGAATTCGAATCTCACCATTGTCGATTTGTCAGGATGGAGACTTTCTGATGTCATCAGACTGGAGCGGTTGAACCCACCGTTCGACAGCTTTGAAAAATGCTTGAAAACCATACCAAGCCTTGGGCTCGACTATATCTGTGCTAGCATGATGTCAAAAGTCATTGTGGCCGAGGGATTGAGCGTGCTGGCCTTGTTCGAATTGTTGATCACGCTAGATAACACACTCTTTCCCAGATACTGTAGCTAAATTCTGCTCAGCATAGTTGCAGTACAGGCGAGCTCTGTGAGTGTTGAATACAAATAAATGCACCTGAGCAATCGTCTGAAACAGGGATTGGCTAGACTCTCTAGTAGACAGGTACCCTCGAATACGTGTGACCAGCTATACATATACATGCATACCAAATATTGACCTTTGCTTTAGTTCTTAACAACTAATAACTTATCTTCTTGATTTCCATTGCATTTACACGATAACATCAGTAATGCAGTTAAAAAAACTTTAGAAAGTCTCTGAAAATAATGCCATTTATTTAAACGGCGATAGATGCTTTCTGTGTTTTGGCGTCATTAGCCTGATACTGAAAAGTTTGGATCCCTAACTAACTTTAAAGGAAGCTATCCTATCAGCAGGTGTATAATATCGGGGCTATTGTCATGCAATTTTGTGAACGGGTTCTGGACCGTGTAGACGTCTCCAGTGAGGCCTCTCGATGTCATGATGCACTGCTACAGCTGTATCTCCGGACAATTCAATCCAGTTTATTTATGCATGCATCTCCTGTGGGTGTGAAATTATCACTACCTAGGTTTCTAACAAAACTGAACCAGGATTTGTTATGAGGCATCTCATACTCATTCGATAAGGGTGGTTTTAATTCCTCACTCAACTTTATTCAGGTGCGGGTTATTCCAATTTATACAAAGTTATAACCTAACAGAAAATATCTTACACATAGTTTCCTAAGTAACACATCACAGTATAATTATCTGCAGATGATCCTACATTCAACTATACCGCCCTTAAATCTCCGCCTTTCTAAATGGTGGGGTGAGACGATAATGAAAAGAAGAGGGATCATCTCAAGTTAATAGTAAGGTAACACTGTACACCTAATCATCCATGCCTCCTCACCGATATTTATGAAGTCTAATCCAGGGTTTCTTAACTTTGCTTGTCACATGCACCCCTTCTCCATTTATCAGAATGCTATTCCCCACTCATTTTCAAGGCCAGATCGGTGAAATTCTATAATTACTCTCCTCCTCCTTCCTCGAAACTCAATGTGGGCACAATTCACCCCTGAAAATCCCAAATTAACGATCCCCCCCACCCCGAGGTGAATTTCACCCCTGTTGAGAACCCCGGGTCTAAACTATTAATTTTCATTTTTTATTTATTCGGTGTAGATAAGTCTACCTATATTCCGGTAGATACATACTTTTGAACAGGAGGAGAGGCTTATCCATTTTTCCTGTTTAGTGTGGCGTTTCCAGTCACATTGTCCTCCTTCTGAGGCACTAACAAGAGTGGCTGCCATGAATTTCAAAATAAAACAATTTATTCAAATTTGTCAGAGAATCAGTAGTAGAGCAAAATATAATATGCACAAAATCATGCGTGAATGTTTATAAGTTTTACAGTTCACTTGTATATATTTATACAAGACACACACACACACACATATATATATATATATATATATATATATATATATATATATATATATATATATATATATATATATATATATATATATATATATATATATATATATATATATATATATATATATATATATATATATATATATATATATATATATATATATATATATATATATATATATATATATATATATATATATATATATATATATATATATATATATATATATATATATATATATATATATATATATATATATATATATATATATATATATATATATATATATATATATATATATATATATATATATATATATATATATATATATATATATATATATATATATATATATATATATATATATATATATATATATATATATATATATATATATAAATATATATATATATATATATATATATATATATATATATATATATATATATATATATATATATATATATATATATATATATATATATATATATATATATATATATATATATATATATATATATATATATAATATATATATATATATATATATATATATATATATATATATAAAATATATATATATATATATATATATATATATATATATATATATATATATATATATATATATATATATATATATATATATTTCCCTATTATAAGCATTATTATATCCGTGATATAATAATACTCTAACGTGGAAAGGAATAGCTAAAAGGAAAATGAATGACAAACATGTTTTGTTCTCAAAAGGACTTTTTTACTACTAAGATATACACAGAATTATGTATGCTAGAAGGTCAAGGGAAATGTTACAAATACCACGCTCTAATCATATGTAAGAAAGTATAATGGTTGTATATAAAACAAGATGAATAATAATATAGATTCTCGGTTAGAAAGTGTAAAATATTCCAACTGAGAAGGGATGTATTGTGTTCACAGATACTACACTCTGATCTTAGGAAAAAAAGGTGTAATGTTTTGTACATAAAAAGAAAACTAATAGTAAAGATTCTCGGCCAAAAAAGCATAAATGAATCAATCGGAGAAGGGCCGGGCAATGTTAACAGATACTACACTCTGATCTTAGGAAAAATGTGTTAGATAACCAAGGGATAGGTTGTTTTAAAGCGCCATGATCACTGTTGTCTTGAAGTGGGGCGAAACATAGATGAGGATTCCATTTTAATCTGTAAATAAAAGATCAAACCAATCGGAGATCTTAAGTGACAAAAATATGGCTCTACAGAAGGATGTTGAGAATAACCTGGACGCAACATGTGAAAAAGAAGGAAGTTTTAATAGAATTGAAAGGAAAAGGACAGTTTAGATTAGGATCAGAAAGGACCAGTTGGAATTTCTCGGATACGTAACGAGGTAAAACTGCTTGGAGATGTTGACACACAAAAGTGTGAGAAGCAGGGAAAAACAACGTGAACCACATAATTATTTTTAACAGAAAAAAATATTGTGAGAAAAACAAGTAAATGGACAAATATTACTTAGAACTATAAATGATAAGACGATGTGAAAAGCAAGGATCTACCGTATAAAATAAGAAAAATCTTCTACCAACTTTCATTCAGTTCTATAGAACTTACTTTTAGAAACTTTCTGAGGAAACAACTGATTTGGATGCCTTTTGCAGTTTCCCAGGTAAATAATATTTTTCTGTAGGTAGAACATCAACAGAACACCAACGATGAGTGAAAGGTTTTCAGCTAAACTTTAATTAGTTTCATGTATTCATCACAAGAATATAGTCTACATTAATAACAATTTATATTAATATTTGCATTAGGCATTGATATATACTAAGTATATCTTGGATCGAAACACGAAATCGGATGTAGACATGAAGAAATTGGGAAAGAAAAAACAACAATGAATGTTATCTTAAATGTTATTATTATATGAAGTATTGTCTATTATTATTAATTTCTGACTAGAAATTCTTGAATCTTTTTTCTTTTGCTTTTACAGCCAAGAGTAATATTCTTAAGTTGACGTAATTTATTTATTAAAGCATTGTCAATAGTATTATTTCATTTTTCTTACTTACTTTTATACATATAAGCAATAGATTTATGTTGACGTCCTTCCGTATTTTTTAATCGGTATCACTCCATGCAAGGCAGTAAAGCCACTAAGACGCAAGGTGTTACAGGGTGTGGAAGAATTAGGAACAGAAACATTAATAATAAGCAGGAAGAGAAAAGAGTAATCAGGAGGACAGTAAAAAGATTAAAGCTGATGGAAAGCATGGAGCTGGAAGGGAGTTCCACAAGCGAGAAGTTTGAGAAAAAACTGTTAGCATAGAATTTACGGTTCCATCTAGCCAGGACAACTATAAATTGATTAGACCTCATCGCCATTTCTTGTACTACGCTTAAATTTAAAAAGTCTAGGTACCATAGCTAAGAGCGATATTTAATTGTATAAAAATACAAAATGTGGCACAAGGCTAATATGGGGAAAAAGATTGGTTTGCTTCTGTCTTTTAATTAGCTTTAGCTAGCCACAATCACTGAACCAAAGATGCTACAATATTCAAACAACAACGCAGTTTTACCATTCTTACTACATCCACTATAATAGCACAGAATCTCCATGAATTCCTAACGAGTCGCCATATGTACACTACTTGTCTGTGTCGTGGGCGAGATAAATATAAGAACAATTTGAAATATAAACCCCAATGTGTATTTACAAATACGAACAAAATCTATTTAAAAGAAACTAAATAAAATTGTATTACTAACAAAACCAAATACAATCCTTAATTATGGCAGAAACATTAGTTAACCAGACGAAATCAAAACGGGACTTTTAAAATATACAACATTCATTTTTCCAAACACTTACTGAAATACGAAACTCACACCTGAAAAAATAATGGTCTCTCGCATACACCAGAGAACTGACATCTCTGACAAACTAACCAAGGAGGTGGAATTAAACTATAAGAAAATGGGGAGAGAATTAAAAGGGGCCGATGATCATACATTCCATAGTTAAGTTAACTCGAAGGAAGAAATTAAAGCGCCACTGTATGTCGGTCCCTCTTACTTGACACAAACAAGTACCTTTTGCATATCCAGACCACCTTTAGAAGGGTGGAGGTAACATATATCCCGAGGTATGTTAACGGACTTGCTTCTGCCCAAGAAGGTGAACAAAAGCCTTACTAATTAAATAAGCGTGGCAGATGGAAGTGTAAACAGAAATAGTCGGTAAAGAAGAATTGAGTATATGTGTGAGGCACATCCACCTTCCCCTCTGCGATCACAGACAAACTGCAAACTCTGCTTTCTCTTGCACCTGCGACCAATTCACTTCCACCAGCAGATCGGGAGTGAACCAGACGCTGAATATCTAGACCGTTATCTGTCCGTTCGGAGGAGAAGTCCGGGAAGAGAAACTCCCTTCACACGCACAACCAAAAGCCAAGACTTACCGCGGTTGATCTTGGCTCCTGTCACCATCTCGTACCCTCTAATTTCTATGCCGACTTCGTCGATCTCGTCCCTGCACATCACAAGAAGCAAAACGTCGTCAGCATAGGCAGAATTCCTGACCGAGGTTGTAGCAGGGGGTAAGTAAATTCATCGTAGAACCGGATTCGTCTTTAACTTGCGAAAAAAAGGCAAGAACATAAATAAAAGGCGAAAGCAGACTACCATGACGAATGGAGCGGGACGATACGTAAGATCGCGATCGAACTATATTTACTTCCACCAGTGCACCCGGACGTCACATGCAAAGTCGAAAAAAAAGTGCAAAAGTATGCCTCGAAGACGGCGGCCGAAATGACAGCCTCCAGAAATCGATGGTTCACTCTATCGAATGCCTTGGACTGACAAAATTCATCTGTATTTAACATCGTTAAAGGCCGAATGTTGCCTATCCCAGCCCCACTGTTCTTGTCCTTAATCACATCACTGGTGAAGCTTTAAGATATAGACTCCTGATTCATTCAGTTGTAAATCAGTGCCAAAAAATGTAAAAAGATGGATCGACAGCCTAAGGTATATTTCGTAGTGTAGATCATCTAATCCCGGTAGATTTGTCACGACCAACCAGCTTCATCGCTTTCCGGTTTTCCGACCCTAGCACCTAGATGCTTTACTCGCCTCGAGGCAAAGAAAGTGTGTTAAATACGCATCGAACTGAGCAGTAGTTCACCAATGTAAGTAGTCACAAAAAGCTACACGTATTCCCGCGTTTGTAGTCACGGTCCGATTACCTGGCAATATGACGCAAGCAATATGTCCACGAGATGCATTTCTAATTTCCTATGCATGTGACTGCCTCATATATATATATATATATATATATATATATATATATATATATAATACCTAAAGTGCCAGAACCTATCTACCTAGGTTTAATCTAAAGGATAATAAGGATAATTCTTAATTATCCTGATGATCCTGTATATATACAAGGTGTCCATAAAGTTCGTGTGCACTTTAAAAATTTATAACTTTATTTCTATTTGCGATAGAAATAATCTATAAAAAATGTTCTAATACAGTGTTTCAACAAGATGGACCTCCTTGTTACTTTGCTCTGCGTGTTAGAGAGTTTCTAAATCAGGAATTTCCTAACAGATAGATCGGAAGGGGTGGACCATTCGCCAGATTTGACTCCATTAATTTTTTTTAGGGGGACATGTGAAAACAATTGTGTATGCAGCCAATCTTACAATTCCTTAGAAGCTAGCATAATTTCAGAGCTTGACTCTTTTTGAATCGGGGAGTATATCTAGCAGCAAACCTCCTCATTTGTTTTATTTGAGTTTGTCCCGAGACATATTTCCAACCACAGCTCTCGTCAATTCCCGCTGTATCATCTGCTTCGGAAAATCTTGCTAAAACCTTGCAAATAATGATAATTTTCCAGTAACCAGTCAGGATAAACATAGGCTTATGCAAGTTTACAAGAACTCGGGCGAGCCTATGATCCGATTATACTACATATACTGAAAAATTGGACACCCTAAGAAACCCACAAGGACACTGTTATCTAAGATCGGTCGAGATAGCTAGAACGCACTGGCGTAACCAAGGCGCCCCTATTCGTCTAAGTCCACACTAGCCACCGAGAGTGTTCATTACAATACTTATCGACAAGATCAAACTTATCGATAAAATCCCAAAATGGTTTCATGTGTCGGTTTTTAGTACCCAGTCTTGGCCCTATACGAATCATGTCATGGTCAAGGATGGCACTCCAGTCTTTCTCTAAAACTAACCGACGAGATGTTGTCAAAAATGGGTCGATCCGCCGAAACAAATCAAGCCGCTCAGAATGGTCATTGGGCGCGGAAAACCCAATATGAAAAAAAGCATTATGCTTTATATTACCATCCAGCACACAATGCTTGTCCGCCGGATCTGCGAAGACAAGAACATACACAGCCATCAATGACTTGCTCTCCCGCCAGGAAACTCAATTCGAGCCGCCATAAAACATCCGGAATAGAGGGCGAACCCCCTGGACAGAATGCCTTTATAATACCGAGTAGAAAAACAGGTATTATGTACACAATATATATTCACCCCGAGACGCTGTATTTCGCGAGTGAGACTCACCCTTCGAGAGCCCGACCTCAAGCCGAGGCATTCACACTAGCCAACCGCAAAAACGGCCATTTATGCTTGTTCTGCATTGAACATTACCTGTTCCGTTGATCCTGTGCCAATCTCACTCTTGATAGTGTCATCAAGAGACAGGCCGCCAATGTCCCCGGGAAACTTTAACTTATACAGTATGGGTAAACGAAAGCAGGAAGCCACCCAGATCAATATTGTTTTAATTCCGTCATCTGATTATCGTTCATATACGTCGCTGGGAACGCTAATTTAAGAAACGTGTTTGCCTCCTCGATCTTGCCCTATATCTACCGCGTAGCCGAACCTGATCGCAGAACAGTCAGCAGCATTTTAGCTCTTTTGAAATTTTATGGAACTTCAATGTATTTTGGTTTAACTGGCGGGAATTCTATAGACACTTCAGGTCTTTTGGGTTTCGTGTCTGAGCAAAAACCGTTTCCGCCTCTTTCTGGGATACACGGCAGACGTCTTCCCCAGATAGATATGGTGATTTAATTTTCTTTCTTTTCTCCGTTACAACCGGGGCTTCGGGACTTCTGTTTCTTTTCTTTTTTGTGATTGTGTAAGAGTGGTGTTGTTGTGGGAGTAGTTCTGGGTAAGTGGACAGGGGAATTTTATAAGGTGATGGTCGTTGGAAAGGAATGTCATGAACAGACGCTTTGAGTTTTATTGGTGTATTTCTCGCTAATATAGGCAGGGGGATGAATGTTTTTTGATGAAGGGGAAGACGAGGCAGAGAATTAAAGGACGGGAACACCCAGCACCTATTTTTTGTCCCGTTTCACATCATTATGTTCTACCGATCCGTGTAGGCGCCGCGGAACTAACAGTATCGGCCAGAGGGCGATTTTGGTCGCCAGAAACCGGAAGTCCAGAGGCCTTCTTCCTTAGACAGGAAGAGTAGGAGAGGTGAACAGTCTCCCCGTACCTCCGACAAGTAGGTTTCTGTCAATTACGATGACAGGCATTTTCCTGCTGAAATGTTTGAATCAGTTGGGGACAGAGACGAAGGTCAAACTGAGTCGAAATTCGCACCTAAAATTCGGCCATACTACATGGAGAATGCAGCCACATGCTCTCCTGACACACGAGGAGCGACCTCGAAAACTACTAACCTGCTCTTTCTCCGACCCTCATTCTGTATTCGTAGGATGGCGTCTTTTGTTATCAATTCTCTCCTCGCCATCTCGAGGCAATCTTCGGCTTTGGACAGCAGTACGCCTCAAATAAAGTAACCAATCCCCTTAATTGATCGAATCACTCTGTCTTTCGTGGTGGGGCAAATTTTTCCAGTACGCTGTCGCCTACGAAGACAGACATCATTCTCTTTTCAAACATCTTTAAATCTTGGAAATCTTCTTTTACAAGATCTTCGAAACTTTTAGACCTTTCCAGAAATTCGGCGATGTTTATTATACAACTTGAGAGGAACTTCCATCAGGAGGGCTATTCCCGAGCTGTCATTTTTACTGTCGCCTCCATTTCGTTTGGCACTTGTGATTGCTAGCTTTAATAGTTTGGGTCATATCTTTATTTGCTGTGCTAATATTTTCGGTAGCCAACACAATCTTTCTTTTAATTGGAGACTTCCGTGTTGCTTCCACCCGATATCCTGCTTTCTTTTTTATCGATTAGGTCTACTTTAAACGCAGATAGAAATTTTTTTTCCACAGACCGACGACTTATATCGGTCATCCTGGAGAAAAAATATCACCTAATTAAGCGGGCTTTTTTTAAAAAAAAAACTTGCGGAAAAATAATAATTGGAGCATTGAGAAGGGGAGTATGAAAAAGGCCAACAGTTTTTAATTATGAATGCAAATAAAAAGTAGTATTTAGAATGAGTTAAAATAACAGAAATCAGCACAAACAGGGTTGGGGGAGAAAAATAAAAGACAGAATTCAATAAAAGAAAAAAAAACAAGTTAAATCTGTATCAACAAAAATCTAATAAACTTGCCTAAATGAACTAATTCATAATTAAACTAGAAGAAAAAGAGAATTAAACCAAAAAATTTTAATTTTAAGCTAAAAGCAATAAAGTTTTAAAAAATAAAACGGCTTAAAATAACAGATTGGGAAAAATGAAAGTTAAAAAATAAATAAATAAATAAATAAAATAAACGTCGGATGAAAAAATATAGACTGTTCAAATATTAAGAAAAAAAAACGAAAACGGGATTTCGTTTAAATTTTCCTAATAAACTAGATCAAATAAGGTAGATAAAAAACTAAATTAAATAAAAACGCAATAAGACAAACCATGAAAATAAAAGTAAAGATGGCGGAAAACTGAAAAAAGACTGACAAGAAAAAACAAAACAAGAATTAATCAAACAAAAACGTATAAATGAAAGAAGGAAAAATAAATTAACTTAACAAATGTCTGCAGGTCGAAAGAAAGTTCATAATAAATCTCTAAAAATGTTTGTTTAGTTTGTTAATCAGTCTAAAAGCACTGGTCTGAAAATAGGTCAGTTTCCAAGTACCATAGCGCAGAACTCATCTGAACAATTGCCATGAAAATATTTATAGAAAAGACAGAGAGAGGCAACCTTACGGCAGTGAGAAAGTGATTGAAGCCGACAGATCAGGATTAATAATATTGCTGATTCTTCTTTGGATTTTATCCAGGAGTTCATGGTAAGTAGCAAGAGTACCCGACCATATGTGGCAGCAATATTCTAATCATGGACGAATGGTAGAATTAAAGATATGTAAGATAGATTCTAGAGAGAAAAATGTTCTCGCCCAACACTATGAATCAACTTTCTTAGCAGCTGACTATCAATGGATACAATATAGCCTTTTCACTTCATGTCAGCTGAGAACGTGAATACGAGAAGGCGCAAAGAGTCACTTTCCTGGAGGTTAGCATCAGCCATGCTGATGGCTGCCAAAGTGACGTTTCTCAGATGATTAATGGGAAAAAAAGTTTAGTTTTTGAGGCGTTACATCTTTTTCTCCAGTTAACGTCGTTTTCGACATCGGCCGTCATTTTGACCTTGTCTGACTAATTAGCCTTACTATCGTGGCGGCAATAATGTTGGAGTCATTAATGAAAACAGAGCAGGGCTAAGTAAAGAGCCCTGGTGGGTCGGGGTACACCTGTGTTAGTACGAAAGTTATCCTGAGCGTTCAGGATAAATTTCATTTCACGATTTGATAAGAAAAACTGGAGCAGTTCAAAAATGTGTCCGTAGACACCGTAAATTTTTATTTCGTTGCGTTTCATACAACCATTTCATTTTACGTGATTTCACTTGCTTTTACACAAAGTAGTAATAGTTCTAGATCTTGCATAATTTATTAGCTAAAGCATTTTCAAGTATTATTAATTACGTGTAACAATTCCTCCTTTAGATTTCTCACACATTTACGCATAACAATGATAGACTTATATTCTGGTAAATTCTTAGCAAATGTATTGACAATTATTATTAATTTCTGAGATTTTCTTTCGTAATATTTCTGTTGCTTTTGCACCTAGGAGTAATAGTCATATGTTGGTGTAAATTCTTAGCAAACGTATTGACAACTATTTCATTATATTTCTGTTGCGTTTACAACTAATAATACCACTTTTGTATTAGCATCGGTTCTTAATTCAACTTTTGTCAATTATTTTAATTTCTGAGTAGGATTTCTTTCATCATATTTCTATTGCGTTTACACGTTATTATTAGTCCTGGGTATGACGATAAACTACATCCGGTAGCAAGGCTTCCGATTGGGCTTTTGAGGAGTTTGGAACCAACTCATAATTACTGCTGTTCCCAGGTCCACCCTGGCCCCGGGGTGACAGCATCTGTTAGGGTCCCAGCTATGAGAAAACTATGAACGCCAAACAAAAACAAAAACAAAACATTTTGAAAATATAAAAATACATTTTTATCGTAAAATTACAAACAAGAGATCAATTGATAAGAAAGATATTAATTCATATAATGTACTAAAATTTCTTAACTAAAACTGTATTCCAAAATATAACTCCAGCAAAACAACATGAAACACGCATATCTCCGCCTATAGTAATGTCCACACAGATGTATAGATGAATAAATGTTGATGAATAAATGTTGGGTATCATCTACCATGTATTCAAGTGTGAAAGCAGAACAACATATATATTTTTATTAATTCAAAGCTTGCTAGAAAATTAAATTTTGGCATTAAATGAACCATAAAGTGCTTAAATATATTTTTAAGTATTTCACCCCTAGCAAGGCGGGGTGCCACTAGTACAGAGGTTGTTATTTAAAGTAAAATTGGGATAAAAGACAGTGTATAGCGTGGATTGAGGAAAAGATAAAAGATGAACGGGATTCAAGGCGACAGAAGATAACATTTGGCATTGTATATACATTTTTGAAAATTGTTGTTATCTGGGAAGCAAGTAAGCGGAAGGGAGTTCCACTGTCGGGAAGTGCGAGAAAAGAAACTGCTAGTGTCGAAGTGGCAGTTATATTTAACTCTTTCAACAGTAAAATGGTAGACCCTAGATGCCAATCTAGAAGCACGCTTAAATTCATGTAGTCAGGGCACCAGACTCATCAGAGTGGTTGCCATAAAAATATTTGTAGAAATGACAGAGGAAAACCACATCACGTCGGTGAGAAATGCCCATTAAACTAATAAATGCAATCAAATCAAATCTTATATGTTGATGGAATTGTCAAATATTAATTTTGGACAAGTGTTGATTCCATTTCATTTCTCTTTCTTTCACATTCTATTACAATGCCTTATGTTGGAATTTCTTGACAAATGCATTGTCATTTATTCAGTAGTTGTACTTTCAGCTGATTACTCTTGCTTTTACACCTCGTAGTAATTTTTAAAAATTATTATTAATTATGTCTCTTATTATTATTAATTTAGTATTTCTTTCACTTTTTCATGGACCTCGGAGTAATATTCTTATGTTGCCTGAATTGCCGATGATTTTTAATTTTTAACGAGTATTTCTTTCAATTAAATTTCGGTTTTGGCTTCATGTTCTATTAATATTAGCTTAAATACATCAGTGCCGTTATTTTCACTGATCTTCCATAATTCATGTTCGAAAAACCTTGCTGAAATAAAACGTTCTTTAAATACAGTATTTATTTTCAGTTAATCTCCTTTTGCCGTGCGCTGAGGGAAGACGAGTCTGGCCACCCGTTAGGGAGTAGAATCCACCCTTGACTGCCAAGATTACTTTTGTGTTCTAATCTCTCGTGCTGTGAAGCCTACAAATGTATGCAGCTATTTAGAGCTGAACTTTTGTAGTCAGACATTATAAACCTGCCACGATGGCACGCGATTTTCTTACCCAACAGAATCAAACAGCCATTGGCAGATGACATTTTATCGACTTTTATGACGTGAAATAAAAGAAGGTGATTATTTTTGGAATATTGCATTCCCAGTAGGCGTGACAAACACAGAGCCTCAGAAAAAAAAATCGACATTCGGCTTATGCTTTTCCGTGTCTGGATGAATATATATTCTTTCGGGGTTGGGGGAAACACACCGATACAAATATCCCGTCTTCCGAGTATTTTTGGATATTTTTTGAGAAAGCATACATGGTTAAAATCAAATAATCTGATTGGTTAATCGAACAATTTCCTTAAGACCAAATTCAATTGCCAACCAGTACAAGAAAAAATAGAAGAAAAATGTAATACGAGAAAAATTTTAGGAAAATCAAATATCTATTTAGTATCAATTTTATGATAACTTCTGTTTGGAATTGGTATGCAGAGAGTTAGTGAAAAAATAAAATAAAACAAATGAGTAATAATAATAATAATAATAATAATTTTGCCATGATGTAATTTATAAAGAAACCTGGAAAGGGTTTTTGTTTACATGCACGATTTTATAAGTTCACTTCCGGAGAGGCTAGAATCTTTCTGTTTTCAACATTCTAACGACAGCGTTCAGACGTGTTTCGGTAGCCCTAGTCATATAGTAAGTGAATTGGTCGTTCCAACTCAGCGCAAAGCTGATTTGAGCTCGACCATTTCAGTCATTTTTATCATAACTTACCTCTGAACTAAAAAAGAAAACAGACATACCAAAGAGAATTTTGTTTCGCTACAGTCACCACGGAAAGAGTAAACGTTCGCGTATCAGAAACATAAGTTTTATAATAGTGCTGTCTTATTTGTAAAAGTGTTCGCTTATGATCAACGTATAATGAAAACTGTAACCACTTTTTTTGCCTATTCTTTCAATTCATTTTGGTATATTTAAGTTTTTTGTGTTATTATTTGGCACAGTATATATATATATATATATATATATATATATATATATGCAATTTTTATGTATATTACTTATATAATATATATGCGTGGTACTTATTCGAAAGTGGTGAATATCTGTGATAGAGCTAACATCGCTCAATATCAGTGACGATTGCAGAGAGCGTGAGACCCAGCGTTGATCAACTTTAGGGAGGTTGAGGCTGATTAACTTCACGGAAGGGCTTTCACACATTCCCTCTCACACTTGTTTCCCACTCCCACACATACACTCTGACTAAAATTTTGTTTTTTATACCCGGAGTTATATTTTCCGATTCTTTTTTTGAATTTGTAGGTCTGATGAATTGGATCGTGATTACGATTCCAATGTAATAAATT